CTACAGTAATACTCGATCAGAGAAAGCCATTCTGTGCAACCAAAGCATTGTCCTGGATGTCGCTTGGTTCGCCTCGTACACTGAACTAACCTCTTCATCCCCCCAGGGCAGTAGCTCACTTCGCTTGGAGGACCCACGGTTCACTTCCACGAAAGTGCTGCACTCGATGCCAAGGACCGCAATGGCTCCTTCGACAGAGCCGCTGAGAACCATCAGGACAGCCAGCCTTGGCCCCAAAGGGAATGACATGGGATGTACTGCGAGGCTACCTTGATATAGTAATCGGTACTACTTTTTAAATTACTGTATAGCTCGGGAACACGAAGCCAGAGCTCGAATTGAGGTTCAGGGCGGAGTTCTCATCAGGATCGTATTTTTGATCGGCAGCCACCGCCATATACCCTGCAGCCCGAGCAATCCTAGTGATCCGTGCCCGGCCCGCATAAAGCTCGATGACATCAAATGTCTCATTATTGCAGTATGGCGGTTTGGGATCCAACCAATATGCCAGGAGAACGATCGCCACAAAAGCCTTGGCTGAGTATCGGGGGCTCTTGGCTGCACAACATTAAGAGACTGCGACATATTGCGATTTAGGAGCTTTCGGGACCTTCAGGGCTATCATCGTTCGGATGCAAGCATCCAGCGTGGCTTCGTCGATCATTGCAGAAGAGCACCGATCTCACCGATCGAAGTTTAAGTAAATCACACGTAGCAGTCGATGCATGCATTTCGCTACCACGATATCATGAAAGAGGATGCTGCAGGCTATCATGCCATGTGTGCTATATAGCACACACTGGAGAATGGCCTATACATCGTGTTCCTCGAGGACAAATCTTGCGTTGGCGCAAAGCGGGTGCAGCCACACTGCTCCAACAGGGATCGTGAATGCACTATGGTCCGGGGTGTAGGGTTCGGGGCTTCAGGGATCCAACTATTGCTGGTCCTGTTTGTGGGGGGGGCCGCGTGTAGGATTGGGGCTTCACGTAGGCTTTATCAGGATTATACACTTATAAAGGCCCGGGCTCCATATATTGTACAATATCACACCTATATAGACTAAACCCAATGGGTTTAGTCTATATAGGTGTGATATTGTACAATATATATTAATATATATATATATATATAACGTATGCAACCTATATATATTATATATTATATATATATATATATATATATATAATATTCGTCCTACACTACCTGCACTCGTAAACTAAGCTCCGACAAACCCCTGCATAGTATAGTAGCCTATCTATATATATAGTTTATATTATATATATATATATATATACAATATATATAGGGGTTTGTCGGAGCTTAGATATCCGAACCTACATAGATTGAGAACGACACATTATATGGCCGTAAATAATCCCGAACCCCTGGCAAAAAAAACAAAGGACCCACCCAACCTAAAACTATACTTGCAAACCCTGCAGCCAACACTACAGCAAATAAGCGAGTCGGCAAATGCCAGCATCCGAGGCATCTGGCACCACTCCACGACGGGCCAGGAAGGCCTGTCCTTTTTTCATCGTCCAGCCTCGGCCGGGTGGTTTGCACAGCTCTTATTCTGGTATGTTGGTGAGCGGCTTCAAGTACAGAACTCGATCAGCTGCAACTTGTTTTCGAGCTTGCTGCATCGCTTGACACTCCACCCCAGATCGCATGCAACAGCTTCTCTCACACTTTGCCACCCGAGCATAATATAGATCTAAGCTAATCGGCTACAGGATCTCGGCTTAGTGTGAGCACAGCATATCACATAATTAGCACGACCGAAACCGCTTTGGCTAGTCATGCCCATCCCTAGCAGACTCCTCTGGAGTCGAAAGCAGGAACTCGCGGGCAGCCTTGCGGGCAACCTTGATGCACTCCGACAGGGGGGCCTTCTTGGTCATCTGTGGCTTTGCCAGCATCCAGAAGCTGTCCTGTTCAGATCGAAGCATGCTGCTGGACAATATGGTTATAACATGTCAGCACAACATATGATCCGAAAACAACTGTCCTGGTGTGCGCTGTTGTACTTCAGCGACAGATCTGACTTGAAGACATCTCTGATGGCCATCCACTGATTCAAGGCATGCTCCGTTGTGGGTTTCGCACGACGTGCGAAAGACTTGTCATCATCGCTGTGGCGCTGGCGTTTCTTGGTAGCATCGACAGCACTTCCACCGGACCGTTCTGATTCGGCTGTACCTGATGCCTTCTTGGGGCTGCCCTTGGCCTTCGGGGATGCTTTAGGCTTTGCCGGGGAAGCTTTGGGCTTTGCCTTGCTTGTTCGGGACTTCTTCGCGCTTGCCTTTGCTTTGGGGGATGCTTTCGGGGATGCTTTGGTCTTTGTCTTGCTCGGGGTATTGGTCTTTGTCTTGCTCGGGGTAGTGGTCTTTGTCTTGCCGGTGGTAGCCTTCGTTGGTGAAGCCCAATCCTCAGACTTATCGCCCTCATCACCTGGATTGCCTTTGGGTTTCCTTGCAGGCTTGGGCGGCTTCTCAGGGGTCTGGGTATCATCACAGTCCGGCTTCCCAGCAGGCTTGGCTTTCGGGGAGGGGGTCTTATCCACAGAGCTGGTACCACCCTTGCCGCGACCCTTGCCGCGACCCTTTCCGCGACCCTTGCCGGCAGCCTTGCCTCGACCCTTGGCCCGACCCTTGCCCGGGCCCGTCTTGCCTCTGCCACGACCACGGCCCTTACCCCTAGAAGCAGCAGGCTTGGTAGGAGCAGAACCCGCAATCTCATCATCATCATCCTCCTCGGCCGCTTGTGCTCGGCCTGACACTGTCTGGCCCACCTTGTGCTGCTCGAGGCGACAAGGAGTGTCCTGAACAGGATGAAACATTATAGTGCTCGGATCGATTTCATGCAATACAACAGCAAACCGAGTGCTTAATCCAAATATCGAGGGGGTGCCTTGTAGTTCAGTATATCGAACTCAGCAGTTCCCGTAGCAGCATCGCCCACAGGCTCCTCAGCCACCTTCTGCTCCGGATTGCAACCTGGTTCAGCCGAAGTCTTGGTAGCCGGGGCTTCTGGGGCTTCGGGACATTCCAAAGGTCCATTTCCATCAGGCTCGGAGGTGGCCTCAGGCTCTGGAGGTTGTCCACCGTCATCCTTTCGGGCCCCGAGGCTGTTGAATATAAGTTAGGACCCGGTTTAGGGTTTCCGGTTTCTAGGATTACAATAATATGATATAATTATAATATTGTATAGGATCCGGTTTAGGGTTTCTAGGGTTTTATAAAATATGAATAATTTAATGAAATTATTTGATTGCCCCCTTAAAGATTGTATGCAATCCCCACCAAAAGTCCTGGAGATCCTCCAGGGGTTCACCATCCAGATCTTCATCATCACTAATATCGATGCAGCCAAACTCTGTATCGAAGTTGTAGTCTCCCACCATGATGTCACTGGGAACCGTATCGGTGGCAGAAGGATCTGCCGCACTAGCGCCTAAGATGGCATCCCAGGTCCAATTCTAGTACATGCAGCAGTGATGTGCAGCGAATCATAACATGCTTCCAAGATTCGTGCTGCTTTCTGTCGACGATCCGACAGATAATTCCTAAGCTATAGTGAGAGATAGAAACAATCCACGAGTCCAGCGAAGTAGACATGTATAATAGAACGATAAGTCTCTGTAAGATCTCCAGCTGCTGTTCCGTAGCTCGGATCTCATCATCCAATCGGTCATCATGAGCCGAGGCTTCCAGAACCTCAGCAGCCGCTTCACCAGCTGGATCAGCTGGATATCATCTGCAGCAGCCACTGGGCTATCATCATCGACCTCGGCCGCTTCAGCATCCTGGCCCCAAGCTGCTGTCATTACATCGAACAGAACATGAAGGGACCGGTCCTTGGTTTGGGGTTCAAGTATTGACTCCACATGTGAACACATTCACTGTACATCATGATCATGTGGGAAACGTAAACAAGGCACTCGCAGGGCTCCGATGGGTGCTTTCCAGCGCCTCATCGCCAGGGTAGCCAACCGTTTGATTCCCCAGCTGTCGACGTAGACGGGCACGGTTTGCGCCGTGCCCAGAGCATTCATCAGTCCGTGTGCCTCAGAAACCTGGGCGATTTTATGGGAGAACCGATGAAGTATGATAAGGCTTATTAAGTTAACATATATATCGGTATATTAGGGCTTGTATAGCACTCTCGGGTGTATGTGGCTACAGCCCAACCAGAAATTTCAACCCCCAAAAAAATTTAAGCAAGTATATGTATATTGGAACCCAGAGCACCTCGATCCAGCTTTAAGAATACGTCCCCCCCCCCGAAGTTATGATCTAGGGTGTTCAGTTGGAATATGTGGGTGTGCATATATTTTTAGGTACAGTAGCCAGGGCATTTCTTGGGGCTGCATGCACAGATCGAATCAAGTAGCTTCCTTCTTAAGCCAGTCAATGGCCATGCTCTTTGGTGCAGGAATCGCTGCACCCCAGACTTCCAAGGATATTTTCAACACGGCAACGTTGAGGGACAGTGCCTTCAAACTAGCACAGCCAACCAATGATGGCTTCGGCCACTGAAGCAAGTGCCCTTTGTTGTGACGGAAAATAGATCGTATTTCGTTGTCCTCTTCGAAAGCTTTAGCTAGCAATCCCGACTCCGGCCAAACTTGTCCCCGCTGTCTGCGGACACGAAGGTGCCCTGCTGCAGCATCTGCAGCATCAGGAGCCTCCTCTGCAGCCATGGCTGCACTATCTAGCTATCCTGCAACCCAAATCCTGCGAAGGATAGTGGTTTAATCATTGTGCATGCCCAACCAAAAGATTTGAGCAGTGTGACGGGCTGAGTCGAGGACCCGCACAGCTCTGAATCAAATCTCCACGTCCACAAACGGACCTGGGCACAGTGGGCTTAATATATGCAACCCTTATATATTGCATATATGGGGCCCTGACCCATAGCAAATGATGAGGATCCAGATCCCGATCCTGTGTTGGGGCAGAATTAAACGAATACCTTTGGGAGCTGAGGTAGTGAGCCTCGAAGTCGATGACCCGGCCAGCAGCGGCCAGGGCCAATGCATTCAAATCGACCTGCGAAGCCGAAGGCATTATTGTGGGTATTCGCAGAAAAAAGGCGGATCGAGTATCTGCAGCGGTGCACTGAGCGACAGAATATCTTTTTGGCTCCCCCAGCCCTAAAATGCAGCATCTGTGCAGTCACTCGAAGACTCGTGCCAACTGCATGAACCTGCATTGGTTCTAGCTTCCTACATTGGGTTGCTGCGATCGCATAGAGTCACGGACCATCCAGAAGCATATTGTCGACCAAGAGGTATCCTGCAGGGCTTGCATGTTAACCGCAGTAGAAGCTGTCTTCCCTGTACGTATATATTGCCTGCAGCACAGATCTAAAGAATCCTTGCCCATGTTGAAACAAGTCGGCGAAGTGCTTGCAGATGCCACCCTTTTCTATGTTCATCACCACATCTTCCAGCATCTTGTCGGGACACGGATGGTCCTGGCAACGACTCGGATCGTAACCATAATCTTTTGATTGAACCCCTGTGATTTCAAGGGAATTGCATCGAGTCGATCTGCAGTCCTTTTGGTCGGCATAAATTGCTTGAACGGCAGCATTCCAGAAATCATCTGGCAAATGCAGAAGTCCTCGCCAAAGATTGAAAAGCAAACCTCAAAT